TTGAATTCAACTATAAAATTTACAGAATATAAATAATCAATAACAACAATCGTCTCAAATTAGATTAAAAAATTAAGTAATACTTTTAATAATTTATATGATTAATTACTATTATTATCATTTGATTATTATTAAATAAATGATGATGAAATCAAATTATCAAAAGAAATGTATAATCAAGGTATTACATCAACTAAATCTTAAGGTATTAATTTAGCTAAGGAATTAAAATATGATGAATCAATATAATTATTAGATAAATCAATTTAATTAGATCCAAATAACTATGAGGCAAAAAAGCGCAAAGGTAATGATCATAATAAATTATAATTAGGTTAATGTTTAAGAATATTAGAGAGATATGAGGATGCAATCACTTGGTTAGACAAAGCATTACTTATCAGTCCTAAAGATGTTAATTCTTTATGGGATAAAGGTAGATTTATTTTTGATTGATTTATTAGGTTATTGTTTAACAATGTTAGAGAGATATGAGGATGCAATCGCTTGGTTAGACAAAGCATTACTTGTCAATCCTAAACATGTTTTGTCTTTATGGAATAAAGGTAGATTTAATTTGAATTGATTTATTAGGTTAATGTTTAAGACTGTTAGAGAGATATGAGGATGCAATAATTTGGTTAGATAAAGCATTACTAGTCGATCCTAAACATGTTTTGTCTTTATAGAATAAAGGTAGATTTATTTTGGATTGATTTATTAGGTTATTGTTTAAGACTATTAAAGAGATATGAGGTTGCAATCACTTGGTTAGACAAAGCATTACTTATCGATCCTAAACATGTTGGTTCTTTATGGGATAAAGGTAGATTTAATTTGGATTGATTTATTAGGTTAATGTTTAACAATGTTAGAGAGGTATGAGGATGCAATCACTTGGTTAGACTAAGCATTACTTGTTGACCCTAAACATGTTTTGTCTTTATGGAATAAAGGTAGATTTAATTTGAATTGATTTATTAGGATAATGTTTAAGAATGTTAGAGCAATATGAGGATGCAATCACTTGGTTAGACAAAGCATTACTTATCGATCCTAAAGATGTTGATTCTTTATGGAACAAAGGTAGATTTAGTTTAAATTGAGTTATTAGGTTTATGCTTAAGACTGTTAGAGAGATATGAGGATGCAATTACTTGGTTAGACAAAGCATTACTTGTCGATCCTAAACATGTTTTGTCTTTATAGAATAAAGGTAGATTTA